GTGTGTGTGTGTGTGTGTGTTTGTCGGGGGGAGGAGGGGCAGCTTCAGAGTCTGTATTACAGGGAAGTGGGGAGGGAGTGGGGAAGGGGAGCAGAGATCCTGAGCCAGCTGGGTGGGCACAACTGATGCCAGTGCTCATTCCCATCAGACGTGCCACAAGCGCTTCAGCAGCTCCAGCAACCTCAAGACGCACCTGCGCCTGCACTCGGGGGCCCGGCCCTTCCAGTGCAGTGTCTGCCCGAGTCGCTTCACCCAGAACGTTCACCTGCAGCTGCACCATCGGCTGCACGCTCCACTGCCCTGCAGCCTGGCTCATCCCCACCTACCTCTGGCATCTCTCACCTGCCTTGCCGGGTGGCACCAAGGGGCACTAGATCTTGTGATGGTGCCATCAGAGAGGCAGGTGGGCCAGGAAGCTGACAACATGAAGGTGTCCTCAGCATCTCGGGGAAAGCAAGGGCAGCCAGCCTGAGCAGTGGTGTCAGGACTGCTCTGGGCAGGGGCAGGGGCAGAGCGATTAAAGGATTTTCTCTCTAACCAGTTGAGGCCTCTTGAGCTTCAACAGTGGAGGGGGAAGCCGCCGTGTGTTTGCCAGACTTCACAACTCACCCTGGAGCAGGTCAAGACAGGCAGGAAGAGCCTGTGCTGCCCACACATGGACTGGGTGCCTGCAGTCACTACCTGAGGCTTGGGTTTGGGTTCTGCCCCCTCTTGGGACCAGGTCCTTCATCTCGGCTCACCGATGGACAGTCCAGCCTCCCGGGCCTCTGCAAGGTGCAGACTGTGCTGCCAAGAAGGGGCATGTTGCTCTCTCATCTGTCCAGATGTCTGTCTGCTGCTTCCCACCACCTCTTGTCTTAGTTCTGAGGAGGCCACGGTGCCCTCAGCTGGTTACTCCCTGCCATGCCTGGCCTGTGCATGCCAGGATCGAGCCCCCTGTGTGGGGGTAGATGGAGGAACGCAGGATGTCAGTGTCCACCATGACCCAGAAGCATGATGTCCCATGTGCCAGGACAGGCACCACAGAGGGCAAAGGGCTAAGGAGTGCTGGGCTCAGGGAAGGGATAGGGGCCCTGCAAGGACTATAGGCAGAGAAGAACCGGCAAATCACCACAGAGGGCAAAGGGCTGAGTGCTGGGCTCAGGGAAGGGGTAGAGGCCCTGCAAGGACTATAGGCAGAGAAGAACCGGCAAAGAGAGCCTGGGGAACTGGGCCCCTCCTGGTGGCCTTTCTCTCCGCAGTCCTAGAGGATCCCCTCAGAGGGGCAAGGTGTCCCCCACCCGCACTCGAGAGTTACAGAGGCAGCAGCAGCTGGGAAGGCAGCAGCTGGGAGGCAGCAGGTCCAGGCTATCTCTCAGCAAACAGTAGCTGTAATTAAACAACAATAGCTGGACCTCTTCCAGCAGGGCGCCATTCCCAACCATGTGGTTTCAGAGCGGTTTCCCCAGGGGTCCTGGTGGAGATTATGGCTGTGTCCATCTCCAGGACAGAGAACCGGAGAGCCCACCACGGCTGACAATGGCAGGGTCGGCTTCAGCCCCCACGGGTAATCAAGGTCCCGGTTCCAAGCCCACCCAGTCACCGCTTTGGCCCCCCGCCAGGTGACAACCACAGGGTAAGGCCCCGCCCAGTCGACGAGACCACGCCCATTCCAGCACACGGCCCCGCCCCTGTGTTCTAGCCCCTCCTTCGTGGGGGCGGGAAAGACCCTGCGCTCAGCCCCGCCCCCTGGCCCCAGCTCACCCCGATGCCTATTTCCCCGCCCTCCTCGTGTAGACCCCGCTTGGGGGATGGCGGTATCTGCGGGCCCTGGCGCCCCCAGGAGACC